TTAATACATACAAAAGTGATCCATATTTATCTCCCAACTCTTGCGAAAATTGAATATAACTCTTTTTTTTTATGAATGAGAAAAAGTTTCCAAATATTGGAACACCCTTAGGCCCAACGAGATCTTTCCTAGAGCTTGCTCCTATCGCACGATCTGGAAACTTTATTACAAGATAAATAATATAACTTACGAACGAAAGTAACAATAGAATAAAGATATCGTAAGCAGTTATATTTAATCTTTGCAGAATTTGAATCATTGTTGAAACGACTAAGTGGAATGCTTTTCGCTATAAGTAATGTAATGAAATCAAAATTTTTTTCAACCCAAAATTTTAAAAAAGAAGCTTGCAGTAGCTGATGCTAAAATTTTGGTTTTTTAGGTTAGGCTAAATTTTTATAGTTAGTTTCTGCATAATCCTGTAATCAGCATAATCAGCATAATCAGCATAATCTGTCAATTAATTACATCATTAATATCGACATCAGATCTGTGTACCATTTTAACTTTATATTACTAAGCCGATTTTATGTCATGGCAGAACACAGTTAGTCATTATAAATTGAAAACTTTTCGGATCATCCGATAGCCTTTGCAATAGCTTATATTGGGAAAATTACTAAGTGCTACTATAGTAGACTAGTCATGGCAGAAATAATCCGAGATCACGTGGTTTTTCCGGGTAATGGTGTCCAGAATTATGTGGTCGCATAATATGCCACTTTTACGCATGTGCGTCGCATAATTAGAAAAAAAACGCATGATTAAAGTCACGGGATTTGATTATGATTGGTAGATGTGTGTTTCGAAATAAATTCCGTAAGGTTTCGATGTAGACAATGAGCGAATATAAAACATGAGCAAGGTTGGACATATGAGCGCATTTTTGATTTTGGTGATTATTAAAAATAAATGAAATAATTCATAAAATTTGATCCAACCATTTATGTGATGTTGCGAAATTGCTGGCATTAAATAATAAAATTGAATTATATATGAATTGTATGATTGGTTGATTGTCTTTTGATTTATAATTGCTTATGAAACCGTCATAAAACCGCTTATAAAACATGATTAAATTAACATTTTGTTTGTACTTGATTGATTAATTGCATACTTGCTTAATAATATTTTTATATAGTGACTCTGCGTAATATATTGTTATTATTCGGAGTGGTTATATGATTCTGTTGTACCAATTAATTTTAGGGGAATTTACAAATAAGGGCCCAACAACGAAAATAATTACAAATAGGGGCCCAAAATGAAAATAATTACAGG